GTGCATCTGCGTGTGTCGCATTGTGGCTGTAGCCGTAATTCATCAATGACAATGGGCTTGTTGATCCTCTTCGGGAAGGAGAGTGCAAACTGCTGAATAGCATCTCTGTCAGGTCCCTCAAAGAGGTTTGTGATGATGCCCGCAGCCCTGTGTAGTTGTGGTGCTTGCACAAGAATCACATGGCAGGCATAGTCCTGAAATCGAAGTTGTGGAGGTCGGGGGCGTACCACATGGATGCTGAAGTCAATGTGACGGTCAAGAAGATCTCGCCAAGCAAATCGCAGCTCTTCAACCCAGCCAATGATGGCGTTGTCCAGCCGTACCGGTCGCGGATCAGGACATCGTCGAAGACGCTGTTGATGAATGTACCAAGTCTGAATGTACAAGAGCGGATCACCTTCAATGGTCTCAGCTTCAGCATTTGCTCGGAAAATGTCAACAAGTTGGTCAAGCCAATCAAAGTTGCCATCATGCCGGGAGTCGGGGCATCCTTGTACCCGGCGGAAAGGTGGTCGGTATGTCAATGGCCTCAACCTGATCATTTCCCTTGCAGGTGACCAATCTCGCTCCATTGCGAGCAACTTCACCAAAATCAAGACGATTGTGCTCCACATTGCCATCCAAGATGGAGTGCGCGAGCTGTCCCGCCTCCGGAAAGTCGAGGATCTCCCCGGTCTCGTGGGCAATGCGTACCGCTTGGCCAATGTTCCATGCAGGATTCAGAGGTGGTGGCAGCTGGATCCGAAAGACAGCTCCGTGTTCAACTTGACGTAGTTGAGGGTCATTACGGTGCCAAACGTGACCATTGTGCTCAACAATGCATGTGTCGGCCATCCATGTGCAGTAGGCATCAACTTGTGCCATCAGCAGAAGGTGTCTTCGTGCCAACTGCGGTTGCACTTTGTAAACCTCTCGGGTTACAGCAGGATTGTCTGGCACGCCCTGGTTCAGGCGATTTGTATGAAGAACAGTATCCACAATGACAAGCTTCTCCAAAGAGCCCAACGCAATGTCATTGACATGTTGAAGGATAATTGCTTCTTCTCCTGCTTGATGTCCCACAAGGCTGACATGTACGTAGTGAAAGCCTACAAAATGGTTGATGTGAGCCCGAACCAATTGAGCTGCATCTCTAAGCGCTGCATGGTAGGATCTCCAATCGATGTGACCAAAGTTGGGCCAGTGGCCAAGTCGAAAAATGTGAACTGCCTGCAATTCATGAGGTAGATCAGATGATGAGGACTCCGCATCAGGTGGTTCATCATTGTCATGATCCTGAAAACCTTCATGTTGCTGTTCTTCTGGTTCATAATCCATCTGCACACCCACAGTGGCAGTCTCTGCTTCAGGGGCGGCCGCAGCAGCCTGGCTCCCTTCAGGTTGGATGATAAAAGCGTCCCCATTGGTCATGGCATGCACAGGGTCAATGCTGAAAGGAATCACATTTCTCGCATGACGCAGCCGACAACCACGTAGGTGACATTGTTGAAGTTGGTTGGCCTCCTGAGCAAGAAGAAATCCACTCACAAATTGTGGTAAAGATACCGCCAAACTGTACTCTGCTCTACTTGCACGATCCCCTACCAAGAGGGCATGTCAAGTCCCTGTGCAAGAATGAGGTCAAAGGAAATCTCCCACTGAGCACCGACATTTCGAGGGGGGTCAGGATGGCAGACATGAAAGGCAATATCCTCATCAAGTCGAACATGGTCTCGCCAACCTTCCGCAATGTCGCGTGCCCAGTGCCGCCAGTGTCCATCCAACTCAATGATGCGCGGCGTATTCCACTGTCGCACATGTGCATGATGAAGATACCACGTTCGTAGGTGAATAGCTTCTGAAAGTCCGGGCCCCTCAACAAGATGGTGCTCCAAGAAGGTGTTGAAGAGCTCCTGAATCGTGTTGGGTGCCTCATTCAAATTGAAATGCTCATCTCCAGGAACCTGATCTTGTGGTAGACCATCTTGTGTGAGCCATTGCGAAGGAACATTGTGCCACTCATCATTGATTCGATGTTGATGAAGTGGATATTGAGAAGATGTGTTCAAACAAGAGGGATTCCACAACGGGAACGGACCAGCACCAAGCGGCTTCTTAGAACCGTTAGGGTGTGGTTGTGGTCCTACTTGTTGACAATCATCACCATGTGAAAGATCAAATCGATTCCATGTGTCTCCAAACTGATCCTCAAAGAGACCCTCAGCAAAATTGGCAAAACGTACACGTCGTTCCTTCTGGTCTCTCCTCTTTGGCATGGCTAAACCCAAACCTTGCCAACGGGGAACTGGAGGAAAGTGAGGTGTGTCTTCGCACACTTCCCAATGAAGCGCCAATGCACGTTCTGATGCTTCCCATGTTGAAATGAACCACCATTTCTGCACAATGGAGTGGTTCCATTGTTGCAGGATGACGTCATTTGAGCCTGAAGCCCACTGGCCAATGCACCCGAAGGCCGTCACTGACCGGGCTTTTGAAAAGATGGCGCAGGCAGCTTGGAACCATCTGCACGCCCAAGTTCTTCTCCTGCGTCGGTCTCCATGGCTGCGCTGCCTAAAGCCGTCTTCCTTGGCCTCTTGTTGGAGCGTTCCTCTGCTTCTGCCTTGTCCTTTGCAGCCTGCTCGGTGAGGGCGAGTAGATTGCTGTTCATGTTCTCCATGCCGCCCAAGATCTTGGAAGCTGCCTCGCTCTGCTCCTTGATGTCCACATCTTCGTCCGAGATCTCCTGCGTCTCGTCCGGCATGCGGGCAAGGAATTCCACTTTGGCTTTCGCAAGATCCTCTTTGGCCTTTGCAATCTCCTCTTGACATTTTGCCTCCTGCTGCTGGAATTGGCCCGTGTACTCTCTCCATCTGTCTAGCGAGGCCGTGAGAAAGCTCCTCCAATTGTTCATGAGATTTGTCCTGGCTTGGATCGCGTCTTCCATCGCGTTCCGAGCACGATCCAAATCGTTCACTGCATGATGCATCTGCTTCTTGGTGGCCTTCTTTCCAAAGGAATCGTACTTGTTGACGATCTCCTGAATGTCCTGGTCTCCCTTCTTCTTCTTGAGGAGGTTCATCACTTCGTTGAGCCTTTGCTCTGCCGGATGCTCCTGTGTCTGCACCTCCTGAGGTGGCTGAGGCATGGACATCCATGGCGCAGGAGCCGCATTGGGGCCAGTAAGAGGTGGAGGTGGAGGCGGCGCTGCAGTCTGTTGTGCTTGACTGGCCATAGCAAAATTGCCCTTCTCCTTGCCTTTGCTGGTACCCTTGCCCTGTCCTTTCTTCTGTGGCTTCTGTTTGGTCCTCCTTCCGGACGGTTGTCGGGGGCTCTTTCTCGGACTGTTTCTTGGACTCTCCCGCCAAGCAGGGCCTGCCCACGGTGTCTCTTCGTACTCCTGGGTGTAGCCACTGTAATAGTCCGTCTGTCCCCTGCGAGAAGCATTCTTGGAGGGATATTGAATGCAGTCCTGCCATGCCTGTCCACATAGGTCGCAATAATGGGCCTGTGGCGACCTCATTTTGCGGCACGTGCCACAGAACCAACCATGACTCTCTGATTGGAGTCTCGCCATCTCGCTGCGAAGACGTCCTAAAAAGTGATGGTCTCGAGAATGATGTCGGCGAAGTCGATGATGTAGAGCTGAGATCTGTTGCGAATCCAGAATGCACAAACCACGTTTGTGTAGGAACCAAGCCAGTCTCGCCCTTGCTCTCTGTCGCCGCTGATTGCGTCTGATGGAGTTCGTGATGATGTCCAATGAATAGAACCCAGAAAAGCCACCAGAGGCAAAAAACCATAAATCGAAATATCCAAGCACACTGCCAGGGCTAAAACCAGTTCAGCAGGTGCTATACACAATCCCAAACAAGATGAAGATGGTCGAGACAAAGTCAATCGCCAAGTCAAAGTTGTAGGGATAGTGAAACACCAATGCCCGCAGAAGTCAATGTCGACGAGGAAGTCGGTCGAAAAAGAGCAACTGAGAGAGCAAAGGTGTTGGCAGCCAGCCCAGTGCTGCCAGAGCACAAGATTGCCGGAAAGACGCCGGCTGCCCGCGGGTGTTCACAATTGCGACCCGCTGAGGTTGAACGAGCTAGGGGGGCCACTACCAGCACTGTCCCTAGCCGAAAACCTTTCAATATATATATATATTGTTGGAGCGCAACTACCAGGAATGGTTCCGCAGATTTTGTTGGCATGGTGACCAGCGTTCACCAGCGATGTTTCTTGTCCATTGCTATGTTTGTTTACCCTTCACGTGGGACCACCCAGGAGCCCCACGTGCGACTTTAAATCAAATGTTGGTTTCAGGTATGTTCTGATTCAACCGAACCCTCTGACAATTTCACATAGCTATGGAAAATGGCTATGGTTTATAGGTAAATAATCCCAAAATAAGATATATTCCATGGCTAGGAAGGAAACACACGGAAAGCGTCGAAAGAAAACACTGAGAAAAAGTACACTTTGCTCTTGAACCAATCCAGTAAATGTTATATTTGCTGTTGAAAAGGTTAACTATTTTATGGGTTTTTGCCATACTATACACTTGGACGGGTCATGTTTATCCTGGTGAAATTTGATTTTTGGCAGGGAATCAAAAAACACAAACAACAGTGTTTGTTGAAGCTATAGTGCCCTATGATATCCCAGAAAACAAACATTTTATGGTCCCATGATATGATAGAAAATGCATCCCATGATATCTTGACTGAAAATGGCTAAAACCATATTTTTGACGCATTCTCTTTGGATTCAGCATTTGATGTCAACATATTTTCCCGTGAATTCCATGATATATCCAATTTTCACGGTTATTGTTCGTTATATATATATATACACCTACATCACCATTATATCATACTATCTCCCATTAAGTCACAATTTTCCCTGCTTCAAGCACCATTTTCGCGAGCAAAAAAGAATAGTTGATCACTGAATCCCATTGAATCCCATTGTATCCCAATCCCACAAAAATCCCATTCAATCTGTATACAGCATTGGTCAAATCCACGCAGGACTTCACCTCGTCAGACACCTCGACATCACGCTTGGGGTGCGCCCGAATGGCTGGGGGCTTCATGTCGCCAGGTTGGGTTGCGGGTAGAAAAAAAACATGCATTGATGGGGAATACATGGATGTCAAAAAATGGGAAGTAATTACGCAGATTGTGTTCATTGATTTGCTATTCTCGCAATGTTGTTACAGGTTCATATCTTTGGTTTAAGGGCCATACCTGTCAACACACGATATCGAAACAATATTACGCGAAGTGATTCTTAATATTGCCGCTTTGCTTGTTGATACACCCACATATATATATATATACACGTGTGTGTATATTATATTATATATATACACACACGCACTCTTTGTTCTTGTTCTTGTTGTTGTTGCTGCTGCTGCAAATATCTCCGCCCCCCTAACTCGCTCCCTGTTGCTCAGGCCGTCAGCGGATGTAGGGTATGTATCTACGCGCAACTCCCACCTTCTGCCCGGGCCCATCAACATCATCAATATGTATAATATGTATATGATTGTATATGTATAATATATCAAGAGATCAAAACCCGCCGCCCCCTCTGAACAAATGCATTGATTGGTTAAGAATACACCACGCGCATGTACATGACAGTTGCAGTGCTTGTGACAACATGCTGTTATTGCTTGCGCACATATCATGGTACGTTACATTTGGGCTCCATAGGGCCCTTGAGCATCTACAGTGAAAAGTACGGCAGATGGGCTACAGCTGCTGTGAGCACAAGAGATTACAGAGTGAGAGACAGGACAATTGATTTGAATAATGATAATGATGTTGATGTTGTTGAAGATGGCTTTGACGCTGCCGCCACCGTCGTTGCGGGACTGGGGCAGAACCCAGGATTTGCATGGATTTGCCCTTTCTATATACATCATCATATATATATGTACATATGTATAGATGCGTATATAAAATACATATGTATATATGTAATTAGATTGTGGATTATTAGCACCAAGCATTTTTCTGTTCTGCATCACAGATATCTGCACATGTTTCCGTTGCTGCAACCGATCACCTGAGTTGGAAGCGCCTTGAAGCATGGGTCCTTCTTTCTGGTAGTCTCAAGAGATATACATAGAAAAAAGGCAAACCACTTGAACAAATTACAAAACATGCTCATCGTGTTTTTCAATTCGGTGCTAAGTTTTCGCCACCAAACACCAACGGAATTAATTTTGTTAAGAAGCTCTGAATTGCGAGTCCCCGAAATGGTTGATCCGGATAACTTTTCATCTGGACTCCCTGAGTTTGGATGACAAAAACCTGACTTCTTTGGGGTTGGCTTTCAAACAGGGGAACAAAAGACTCTTTCCAATAAGTTTGAAAACCTTTACACATGTTAAAACCGCATTTTCCCAATTCGCATGGTTCGAAAATGGGTTTCATCCCCCATTGACTCACGGCCCTCGTGCCACGATCTCGCAGGCGTGCGCTCCATCGAAAGTTCCAACATTTGACGAAGGACGGGCACGGGGTTTCGGTTGCGAAGAGTGTCTTCGTGTCAGTGGTGTCAAATATAATACATATATATTTCTTACTGTATATATAATAATGATAAGAACAATAATAATATATAGTAAGAATGCTAAAAACATCTAAAAACAATGTTAATAATTAATAATACATAAAATAATGATGATAAAACATTATTAGGAACCTTTCAGGCACTAGTTTATCGCAGGGGCTGTGGCAGTCACCGATAAGGCAAACCTCATGGTTTGTCCCTGGTGGTCTGCTGGGGTGGCCGGAAATGGACGTAATTTTTCCCAATACGGCACTACTCGAATCGGCATGTATTTGTTTTATGTTGTGTGTTGCAAACATGGTCCACTGGTTTCTGTTTTTTCTTCTTGAACATTTGGACAAAATATCACAACACCGATCAAAAGCATATAATTATGTTTTCTGGGCAAAGTATATGACACTTGGCAAACCCAAAAGGTGCACGATTTCCTGCGCAACTTCAAATATTGGGGGGGTCAGCATTTCCCTTGTCATGAAGCATCGAAGCAGGTCACATCGAGAAAAGATGCCAGGGCGCAGGTGAGCAGAAGCAGCGGCGTAGCCCGAAGCGTTGAGATACGTTGAGATGGCAGCGTGGCGATTGTCATTTTAGTGCGGATGGTAATGAGATAATGACGACATATTAGTTGGATATCAATACTTGGATATCAATACTTGGATATCAATACTTGGATATCAATGGGATCATCATTGGATATAAAAAATTTGGTTAATGATCTTCACGGGATATTTATAATATACCCTCTAGTTTCATCAAATGTGGTTGGCTGGAAAATCTTCTATCAATAGAGGTTGAGACGGTTTAGTTCACTGACAAATTCATCGATCTAAATGGTTGATTTTCCAACAAACCAACTTTGATTCCCGGAGGGTAATCATATGTTTACTATAATGGGAATATAGTCTGGGGATGAGTCAGCACCGACAACACAAACTTTGGGGGGACGAAGCAGCAACTATTTTGCCGTGCAAACTAGGGTACCAGGGTTTTGACCCATGACCATACTATAGCATATGTGGATATCATTAGCAACATGATAATCTGATGGAATTTATTTAGTGAGCGGGTTTGGTTCACGTGATATATATATATATGTGTGTAACATATTATATATATATATTTATATAGATGCATATTATAATAACATAAATACAAATATATCATTTGATGTGTATGTCATATAATGATAATGTGTATATATATAATATAACATATTTATTTGTATATACATATATATGGAAACATAACATATATATAATATATGCACATCCAGTGTTTTAAGTTATATATATATATATTAAAATATCATATCATACATATTATACAAATATATAATGTGTATTTATCATATCATTATATATATATATTTACATGTAAATATCACATGCATATATATATACATATTTATGTATCTTGGGGTCTCCCCCGATGGAAGTCGTGCAGGTTGATAGGCAACCATACCAGAAATGGTACGTATGGTGGGTGCCTAGGGGGCCCGGGGATGTCAGCAGTCAGCGGGCCCAGTTTGCGAATGGGAAAATCACCAGTTTCAATAGCTAAATCAACGAATTAAATGGTCATTTTCCATAGCAAACTGTTAGTTTACTGGAGGGTATCATGATATATCATGATATATCATGATTGCATTATTCGATATTATTCGTTTCGTTCAGGCACATGAAATTTCCATGAAATGGGGACTGATTTCAATACCAAAATTCTAATCTAAGGCTCCTGCCAGATCATTACTTTCCATTGTCCACCAGCTTTTTTTTCTACCTTGACATACGTTGCTTAAACAGAGGCCAACCCTCTGCAACAGGTCATGTTTGAAGCCTTTTCATAGCCTTGTTTCTGTCACTCCACGCTAATCAATGTTTATGATATGTGTTGAGATAGCATGATATAACATGATAGTAATACATATTATATAATACAGTCATATTATTAGCATACATGATATTTATGTTTGGCCCACACTCACCCCTGTAAAGGCAGACAGGAACATATGGTGGAACGTTTTTGAGGGTAGCCAACAGTCGATCGACCGCGCTGCACTTATTTGAAAGAGAAAGTTCTGCCGGCGACTTGATGTGTTCAAGTTGCGATGCAGGAAAAAAAAACCAACAGAATTGCTGAGTGGATATATATATAATATTATGTATATATTATTGCAATGGGCGGCTTAACCAATCGGTTGATTTCCTGTTCTTTCAGTGGCTCACGACATGTTCAGCGATTCTGTAGCAAAAAGTCTCACCTCAATTGAGCAACTGACAATGCGAAGGATCATATTCCCAGAAGAACATTTGTGGATTTACCATACTGATTCATACTTCATAGAGATTAATATGGGGTTGTCTCAAAATGGGGTGTAACCAGAAATCACCATTTAAAAGGAAAACTGATGTCAAGCCTTGGATTTTTAGGCTCCATTTTGGGGCCGGCCAACCCAATTTGATCCCAACATATCCCAACATCGGATGGGCACCGGGAGACACCGGGAGGTGAAAAATGATGTCCATCAATTGGAAAGGTTTTGCAATTGATTTGGGATCGGAAATGAATTGGAAATGGATTTTTGGCTCTTTCCAAATATTTTATATATGGATATATATTGGTGGAATTGAATTACAATTGAATTGGTGCCTTATTATTTTCCTTGTGAGGTAAACAATTGGTTGATTAAATAGGTATTATTTTATTATTGATTATTTAATATATTTATTTATTTTTATTATATTCATTTTTAGGCAATCAATTAATTAATTAAATTAATATTATCCCAATATCGATTACGATTATTTTTTTATTATATATTTAAATAATAATATATTATATATATAAATATATTGGAAAAATATATATATTAATAATATATATATATTATTA